GGCGGCGGCCGTGGCGGCGGCGGGCGCGGGCTGCCCGGTGCTGTGCAGCTGCCGCGGGCAGGCGGTGGACTGCAGCGGGCAGCGGCTCTTCTCCGTGCCCCCCGAGCTGCCGCTGGACACCGGCAACCTGAGCCTGGCCCACAACCGCATCGCCAGCATCCCGCCGGGCTACCTGGGCTGCTACGGGCAGCTGCGCGCCCTCGACCTGCGCAACAACTCGCTGGCGGCGCTGCCGGCCGGGCTGTTCCGCGGCGCCCGGCGCCTGGCGCACCTGGACCTGAGCTACAACAACTTCAGCCTGGTGCCCGCCGACATGTTCCGCGAGGCCAGCGCGCTGCTGCGCCTCGACCTCAGCCACAACCCGGGGCTGCGCCGCGTGCACCCGCAGGCCTTCCGCGGCCTGGCCCAGCTGCGCGAGCTGGACCTCAGCTACGGCGGCCTGGCCGCCCTCAGCCTCGACGCCCTGGAGGGGCTGCCCGGCCTCGTGGGGCTGCGCCTGGGCGGCAACCCCTGGCTGTGCGGCTGCGCCATGGAGCCGCTCCTCAAGTGGCTGCGGGGCCACATCCAGCGCTGCTCCTCGGGTAGGTGCCGCCGGGACCCCCGCGCCCCGTCCCGCGCGGGGTTGGTGGCCGGGCTGACGGTGTCCCTGTGTCCCGCAGATTCGCAGCAGGCGGAGTGCTGGGCTCCCCCCGAGGTGGCGGGGGCCCCGCTGCTGTCGCTGACGGAGGAGAGCTTCCAGGCCTGCCACCTCACGCTGACCCTCGACGACTATCTCTTCATCGCCTTCGTCGGCTTCGTCGTCTCCATCGCCTCGGTGGCCACCAACTTCCTGCTGGGCATCACGGCCAACTGCTGCCACCGCTGGAGCAAGGCCAGCGAGGACGAGGATGTTTAGGGACCGCCGCTGCCGTCACCGCCGATAGACCCCCGCCCCGGCCACCCCCCGGCCCGGCCGCCCCCGCGGGGACACCAGACTGTGCCTTGTCCGCGTCCCCTCCCGCCGCCCCCCGTGCCGGGGTGGCCCTCGAGACGCCGGGGACACCAGGGGACAGCCCTGCTTCCTTTTGCCCCAAAGTGGGGAGTTTTTGCACCCCCCATCACCGTGAGCTTGGACCCCCTCCTGTGCTGGTCCCACTGCCCAGGACTGGTTGAGGCAGCGATTTGGGAATCCCGTGGGAACCTCCCCACCTCTGCCTGGGAGAGACAGAGGACAAAGTGTGTGTGTCTTGGGAACCACCGCCACTCTCTGGAGAGCATCAAGGAGATTCCTGCTTTCAGCCCCAAAGCAGCACCGCTGGAGCCCCCCAAATCCTGCACATGCTCTCCAGCCTCCCCAAAAATCCAGGGGGGCAGGAAGACACCCAGCTCCTCACCACCATTCCAGGGCATGCCTGCACCTTGCTGCTGACATCGGGATGTGCTGGAACAGCACCGGGACCACCGAGCCTGGCAGTGGGATGGGCTGTGACATCTCCAGGGGATGGCATCTCCCAAGGGTGGCACCTTACAGGGACTGCATCTCCCAGAGATGACATCTGCCTCCTCTTCGGGGACAAACTGGGCACCAGCATTGCCCGCCCTGGGGGAGGTTTGGGAGGTGGACGGAGCTCTAAAAAGGAGAAAAAAAGAAAAAAAAAGCAGAAAGCCAACGACCCTCTGTCCAGCTGGGACAGCCATGTCCCCAGTGCCTGTGTCACCTGTCCCTGGTGTCTGTGTCACCCTGTCACTGTGGGAGCACATCAGGTGGGGATCAGGGCTGGGGTCACCCGGGGGCTGCTTTGTCCCTTCCCCTGTCCCCCGTGGAGGCTGAGTGCATGGGGAGGGGGGTTTGGTTTAACCCCAGCCCACCCCAAAAGGGCTCCTGCTGCACCCCAGCCCCAGCGCTGCCCCCGGGAAAGGGAACTTGGCCTCTGCCTTCTCTATTTTGTCTGGGGTTTTATTATTTTCCTTTCAGTGAGTCCAAGAACCCCCCTGCTCCACACCTCCTGCACCCCCACAACTCCTGCACCCCTGGACCAGACATATGGGCATGGAGCATCCACCTGCATCCCACCAGCTCCTTCCTCTGCCTCACCTCATCCTCTTCTTTTTGTATTTATAGTTATGTTTTGTTTTCCTTCTCTTTTGATTTTGTTCTTTGTCTATTCCTTTCCTTTCCTTTCCTTTCCTTTCCTTTCCTTTCCTTTCCTTTCCTTTCCTTTCCTCGCCTTGTCTTCTATTTCTTTTCTTTTCTTTTCTTTTCTTTTCTTTTCTTTTCTTTTCTTTTCTTTTCTTTTCTTTTCTTTTCTTTTCTTTTCTTTTTTTACTTTTACTTTCTTTTTTCTTCTTTCTTTTCTTTTTCCTTCTTTCTTTTTCTTTTCTTTCTCTTTCCTTTTTTTCCTTTATTTTCCTTTCCTTTTTCTCTCTTCTCCCCCGACCCCGCTCTTTGTACGTTTTGTAACCGCGGGTTTTGTACCACGGGGCACTTTTTCAGCGCCAAACCTCGACAATAAAGAGTGTCAGCGCAGCCGGGGCCGGGACACGCGTGTGGCGGGGGGACACCGTGTGTGTGTGACGGGGACATGTGTGTGACGGGGACATGTGTGTGACAGACCCAGCGTGCGTGCGGCGGGCGCGGGCAGCGTCCCGCAGCCTGCAGAAGGCATCAGCCGCGCTCTTCCCTCCAGCGCTTCCTGTTATTCCTCCGGCAGCATCTCCCGGCCCCGGCGGGGCCCAGCTGTGGCCGCCGGGTCACCTCCGCGTCCCCCCCTCCCCGGGACCCCCTCCGGGCGGGCGGGGGGACGCGGGCCCTGTCCGGAGCCCAGAGGTCGGGCAGCAGCTGTGCCGCGTCCGGCCGCGCTGCCATGGGGGCAGCGCCCAGCCCGGGGCACCCCCGAGCCCTGGCATTGCCCTGCCATCCCTCTTTCCTCCCAACACATCCGTCCATCCATCCATCCATCCATCCATCCATCCATCCATCCATCCATCCATCCACATAGTACAGTCCCACCTCCCATCCCAAACCTCCCCCACACACCAAAACTGCCCCCCCAATCTTTTCCACCCCTTTTCCTCTCTCTGTCCTTCCCCTCTGTCCCCTCCTCGGTCCTGCAGGGTCACACCAGACCTTCGGGGGTCCCCTCATATTGCGGGGGTGGGGGGGTTGGACCGGCGCCCTAAGGGGGAGCGGGTGGGTCACCCGGGACTTGGCACGGTGGGGACACACCGAGGCAGGGACTCTCCCGAAATGCCACCCCCGGCAGCCACCCCACAGTGACAAAAGTTTCTGAGCCCTGGGTGTGGTGCCAAAGCTTTCCCGCGGCTTTGGCAAATCCGAGTTTTCCCGGCACAAACGGGAGCTGCAGCCCCCCCACCCGCGCGGTCTCCCCCCTCCGTTTGCTTTGGGGCGGGAGGTGTGAAGGAGCCCGAGCCGGGCTGTAAACACGGAGGTCACTTCAAAGGGGACGCCCGGGGACATCCTTAGCACCACCAGATTATTTCGGCACCCCCGGGCGGGATGCGAGGCGGGGGGAGGTCGGGGGGGCGAACATCCCGTTTGGCAGCTTGGAAAAGCGCAGGGGGGGAGAGCTGCGGTGGGGACAGGGGGGGCTGTCCCCATCCTCGCCCCAATTCCTGTCCCTGGTGCATCCATCCTCCCCGGAGCCCACTTTTACTCCCTGTGCAGAATAATCTCTGTTTTCCCAGTGTCACATTCCCACAAGCACGGTTTGGGGAACCCCGGCCCTGCAGAGCCCCCAAGGCATCGCATTGTGGGGTTTGAGGGTCCCCATGGTCCCTGAGGATCACAGCCACCCCCCACTCCCCAGCCATCCTTTCCAAGGATGCTCCCCATCCCCCCGAGCCTGCTGTCCCCCTCTATCTTCCCTCCTCATCTTCCCCAGGCACTCTCAGGAAGGCAACACCTTCCTTATCTTCTTCCGACGGGTGGTCCGGCCCTGCTGCCCCTCACCCCCAGCTCCGGCCTTGTTATTTTCTGGAGTGTCCCTGCATTTCTCCCCAGAGACTCCTCAAGCAAACATTTCCCTCCTGGAAGGGAAAGGGAAATCTCCAAGACGCGGATAGAAAGTCGGCAGCTCCGTCTCCGCTGGCCGGGCGCCTGCGGCCATTTCCGCGCCCGGCGGCCGAGCCGGACGGGGGGAGGCGGCAAAGCCGGCACCCCCACAGCGCCCGGGTGTTTGGGGGTGCGGAGGGATGGAGGGAAAGGGGGATGGAGGGATGGGCAAAGGGAGGGAGAGAAGGGAAAATCGTACAATCGTCAGGGTTGGATGACACCTTTACGATCAAGTCAAACCATCAACCCAGCAACGCCCCTGTAACCCCAAAACCATTAACCCACGGATGGACGGATGGATGGATGGATGGATGGATGGATGGATGGAGGAGGGGATTGATGGATGAGAGAAGACATCCCGGGGTCTCTCCAGGCTGAGGGAGCCTGGACGGCACTGGAATGTAAACACACTTTGGGACGTGTCCCTGGATGCAACATTCCCACTCCTCAAGCCTCCCCAGCCCTCAGACCAAACCAGATGCATCTGGAAACTCCCCAAAACCCTCAAGGAGGCTCCCACCCCTCCAGCCGGGGGGTTGCAGTCCCCAGCCCCGTGGCCACCCCCTCTGTTCCCTGTCTCTGGACAAAGGACTGTCCCCACACGGGGAGACTGTGGGCGGTGGCCCCCAAACACGGTGGGGGCCGGCAGGAAGGCGGAGGCAGCTCCCCCCCGACGGGAAGCATCCCAAGGAACCCAGTAATGATCCCGCATCCTTTCCAAGAGAGAACAAAGGCTGAGGAGATAGCATAGTTCATCACCGATAAATGAAGGACGTAAATAGCAAATAGGGGGAAGATTTATTTCGAGCAGAGCCTCAGGAAGCGGCGGGGGCTGGGGTGAGGCGGGGGGGGGAAATGGGACAGGAGCCATTTGGTGGCTCATCCAAATCCTGCTTGGGGTGAGCCGGGGTCCTGCCCGGTGCCCAAACCTCCCATCAATGCCCAGGGGGTCCCGTGTCCCTCTTCAAACCCTGAGGGTCCCGTGTCCCCGTCCGCACCCGGGGGGTCCCGTGCCCCCATCCCTCAGGTTTGGGTGTTTCACAGCACCAAATCCCGTTTGCACTCCCAGGTGAATCACACAGGGCTCGTCCCAGCCTCAGATAAGGAAAACAGCCCCAAAATGGGATTTGGGATTTCAGTGCTGCCGCCTGATACAATCACGGCTGGGGGGCTGGGGCGGGCAGGTGCCCACCCCACGGGGTCAAACACCCCCATCCCGCCGCTGCAATGCCCCGAAGGCTTGGGATGGAGGTTTTCCTGCGATTCCCAAAGTGCTGCTGAGGAAGAGATCAGAAGAATCCTTCCCAGGCAGAGATGCCCCACAGTGCACACTCCCCCAATACACACACTGCCCCCTCGCTCATGGACACCCCCCATCCTCCATCCCCCCACCCCTCCATCCTCCCTTCCACCACATCCCCCGAGGGAACTGCGCACACCCCGCTCCTTTTTTAACCAAAATTCATTTATTTGTCACAAAACGCAAAGCCCTGGGGGTGCCGGGGTAGCCGCCCCCGCCTGAGCCCCCCAGGGGCTCCTCCCCGGCCGTGCCTCAGTTTCCCCTTCCCGCGAGCAGGGCTTTCCAGCGGGGGATCCCCAAAGCAAGCCAGGCTTCGGGGCGAGGCGCAGGGGGTGCTCCCCCCGAGTAGACCAGCTCGGGGGGCGCCGGGGGCGGTCGGGGAGGGGCTCAGGAGCGGAAGAGCGTCTCCTGGGTGGCGGGGTCCAGCTTGCCCCCCGGGCCGGGCCCCCCCTTGCCGCCGGGGGGGTGGCTGTGCCCCGAGGAGTAGCTGGCGGAGCGCTCGGGGCCGGGGCCGGGGGTCCGGCAGCACAGGAGGGCGGCGCAGGCGTGGCGGAAGCGGGGGTCGAAGAAGGCGTAGAGGAAGGGGTTGAGGCAGCTGTTGATGTAGGCGATGCCCGTGCAGTAGGGATGCAGGTTGTTGAGGAAGGTGTGGAAGGCGCAGGACCAGGGCAGCACCTCCAGGTCCATCAGCACGTAGAGGGTCTTGACCAGGTGGAAGGGCAGCCAGCAGCCCCCGAAGGCGGCCACCAGCACGGTGATGATGGTGAGCAGGCGCTTGCGCTTGCGGGGCCCCTCGGCCCGCTCCCGGCGGAAGTGAGTGGCCACGGTGCGGGCGATGAAGAAGTAGCAGGTCAGCATCACGGCGAACGGGGCCACGAAGCCCAGGGCGGTGGAGGAGAGCCCCAGCCCCACCTCCCAGGCGCCCTCGGTGCCCTGCGCCGCCAGCTCCCCGTAGTCCATGTAGCAGGTGATCTTGGTGTCCCCGCCGATGGCGGCCGCCCGCCGCAGCACCAGGGCGGGCAGGGCCAGCAGGGCGGCCAGCAGCCACAGCAGCACGGTGGCCAGCAGCCCGCTGACCCGCGAGCGCAGCTTGGCGGTGGCCAGCGGCCGCACGATGGCCAGGTAGCGGTCGAAGCTGAGGCCGGTGAGGCAGAAGACGCTGGCGTACATGTTGACGAACACCAGGTAGCTGCTGACCTTGCAGGCGGCCGTGCCGAAGGGCCAGTGGTAGCCCAGCCAGGCGTAGGCGGCCCACAGGGGCAGGGTGACCACGAAGGTGAGGTCGGCCACGGCCAGGTTGGCGATGAAGGTGTCGGCCGAGCGCCGGCGGTCGCGGCCGCCCTTGAAGACGGTCCAGAGGACCAGCCCGTTGCCGGTGGTGCCCAGCAGGAAGACCAGCAGGTAGATGGTGGGCAGCAGGGCCAGCGAGGGGCCCCACTCCGCGTACTCGCAGTCCGTGTCGTTGTCGAAGCCGTAGGTGTAGGCGTCCGTCGCCTCCTCCATCCCGGCGGCGCTGGGCTCCGCTCCGCTCAGCTCATCCCGGGCTCGCCCGCTGCTCCGGCCCCTGAGCGAATCCCACCGCGTTACCTCCCCTTCCTCCTCCTCCCCGCCCTCCTCCTGGCGGGGACGGGCAGGACAGGGCAGGAGGCAGGGCCGGGGGGAGCCCCCGTGGGAAACTTCGCAGCTCCCCCCAGCTCCATCTGGCTCCTGCCCGGGGGGTTTGGCCGAGCTCTCACCCGCGTGTCAACGCGCCCACCCCCGAGATAACCCCGGCCCGCCACGCCCGGGGGGTTCGGTCGCCCACCGCGGTGGCGCTGGGTGCTGGGACCCCGCTCTGGGGCGCTCAGGAGCGGGGGGGCTTCAGCCGGCATTTGGGGTTGCACCTCGGGGCGCCGCATTCGGCGCCGGGGTGTCACACACCGGGGCGGCATTTCGCACGGGCGGTGTCACATCGGGGTCGCACTGGGGGTTGGTGTCACACTGGGGGGAGTGGCACCGCCGGGGGTGGAGGGTGTGCATTTGGCATTTTGCATTTGGCGCTTGGGATTCCCCGTTTTGCTGCCAGCGGTGGCTCCGGGGGGTCCCCCAGCGCCGGGGCCCCACTTTGAGCTCAACGTGCCGAGGAGATTTATACATTTACCAAAAACCGAGGGGGGTTCTGAGACCCCCCACGCTGTAAAAAGACCATTTTAGGGCAGCAGCTGTCGCAAGACCGGCTGCCACCGGAGCTCTCGGTGTGTCCCAGCTCCGCGGGTTGCTCACGGAGCCGGACAACGCTGAGCCAAGAGGGAACAAACTTCCCCCACTCCACAAATAAACATTGGGGGGAGGAGGGAAGACCCCCGAGGTGGTCTGGGATTGTCCCGCTGGGGCTGAACTCTCACAGTTCCAGCTCTGGGGAAAAGAACCGAAGAGGCTGAGCGGGACTTTGCAGAGTGAGGTCTGAAGAGCCCCAAATCCCCCGGGACACGCCGGGGGGGCTGGGCTGGGGCTGCAGGGGGGGAATAAGCCCGGGATGGGCTGTGGGAAGGGGCAGGTTAACACCCGAGTGCAGGGACAGAGACTGGGGGGGGCACAGAGCCCCCGGGACCCCCCGCCGGCTGAGTGGGGCCCTTCTACCAGCAAAGAGGTGTAAAGGAGGGGTTGTGGGGGGAATTCAGTGGCTGAAATGGGGGGGAGAGCTCACAGGAGCCTCCAAAATGAGGCAGTGTAGGGGGGAAAGGGGCTGGTAAGTGGGGGTGCAGGTTAGGGGGCCCCGGGGGTGGGGGCACCGAACCAGAATCCAGAGCTGGGAGAGCAAACCAGGGCTGAATCAGGCTGGAGATAAGGAGCGATCCCGTATCTCAGTGCCGGGACAGCCGGCATGCGGGGAGAGAGGTATTAAACCCAGAAACTGCTGAAAGTGGTGGCAGAACCGCCAAGGTGCCCAGTTCCCGTTCAAATCCCAAGCTGGAATGAGGAAGGGCCGGAACCCCGCAGTCCCCAGCGCAGACACGGCTCGAGCCTTTCCGCTAATTAGCAACATTAACGGGGAAACACCGGCACTGCTAATGAGCCCCCCGGGATGGCAGCGAGGCTCCCCGGGCTGCTCCCGCCCTGGCCGGAGCCCCGTTAATGAGCAGGACCGCTAATGAGCAGTTCTATTAATGACTATTAATAACGCTCCCAGCTATCTGTGTCCTAATTGGAACTCGGCACAAGTATCCATTTCCAGCCGCCACACACGAATCCGTTTCCAGTCTCTCCCCTTCCCAAAAACTGCGGGTTGTTGTCCCGGCCATCCCCTCGCTGTCCTGGAAGCTGGGATGGCTCGTCCCCGGTGCCACCCAGGGGGTCCCGTTGGTCTCGGCGCCGGGCAAGGAGCCCCCCAGGCTGGGTTTGCGCTGGCCACGGGTGGTGGGTGGGTGGCCAGGGCTGGGCTGATAAGGAATCCGTGGGGCTGATAAGGAGCCCCGCTATCTGCAGCGGGGGGAGGGCAGGAGCCGCTCTCGCTGCGGGGTGGGGGCTGCCCCGGGCACCGGCGGGGGGCTCCGGGACCCTCGTTCGGCTTTCCCAGGAATGAATGAGCCCCAGGACTCGGCACCAGCGGCTCCACTGGGAGCAAGCCAGGCTCACGGCTCCCTGCGCAGTGGCTCTGCAGGGGGATTGGGGTGGGAGCCCCACGGAATGGGATGAGGAGCCAGACCTCAGCCCCGCCACCCCGGGCAGGAAGGGCAGCCTTGGCCCTGCACGAGGAGGATCCGGGAGCTTCCTCCCAGTCCGCTGTTACTCACATCCGACCGAGGAAGTGACACCCCTGGGGCACAGCTCCGTCCCTCTGTGCCCCTGCCACGGGCTCCTCCTGTTGGCAGCTCCCCCCGCGGTGTCCCCCGCCCCAGGGACAGCACCCTGACCCCTGTTCCCTCTGCTCAGGCGCCCCAACCCTGCCCGTCGGCCCCCCAAAACCGCCCCGCGCCCCCCCAAGGCTGGACACGGGTGGGTGCTGCGAGCCACGGGTTTATTGGGGGGTGCAGCCCCCGGCGTGGGGTGACAGGGACAGGGAGGTGCTGGGAGAGAGGTGCCCTGGGGGCAAGGGACAGGGCTGGGGCACCTCCTGGGGACACTGGGATGCACTGGGACAAGCCGGGGTGGGCACTGGGGCCAGTCAGATGCTGAAGGGGCTCACAGGGGGAGCCCTGGAGCCTGAGGGGGGTCCGGGGAGCCCCTCAGCAGGCCGTGAGGGGCTGCCCCACAGCGGGGTGGACAGGCTGGGGGGCTGCCCCATGGCCCCCGCGGCTAGAGGCCGAGGGAGAAGGTGCCCGAGTCGGTGGATTGCTTGTCGCGGGAGCAGGTCCCCAGCGCCCCGGGGGGACACGCTGAGGGGGTGGCGGGCACGCCGGCCTCTGACACCTGTGGGGCAGGCACTGGGTGAGTCCCTGCAGCCGGGGGGGCCGATCGAACCCCCGGAGGTGTCCCCATCCCCAGGCAGCCCGGCCCCATGTCCGACCTCCTCGAACTTGCGGGCCTTGTAGTGCTCGGCGCCCTTGAGGAAGTTGAGCAGGATGATGTCGCACAGCACCGTGCCCTGGGGACAGCAGCGTTGGCGTGGGGAGGCCCCGCGCTGTGGAGCACCCCCAGACCCCCACAGAGCCACCCTGCAGCTGTGCGGTGTCCCCGTGGCCGTGGGGTTTCCCCCTTGTGCCCTGGGAGGTGTCACCATCCTGGGGCTGAGTGTCCCCAACTCACCACGCCGATGGAGGTGAAGGCAGCCACCGTGTTGATGAGGGTGGGGACGATGCCGAACTTCCCGGCCTGGGGGAGCAGAGCCCTGGTTGGCCGGAGTCCCCGAGCCCCCCGTGACCCCGCGAGTGCCCGGCCCCACACGTACGCTGCCATAGACCAGGACATCAAAGCGGATCCCGAAGGCCTTGATGAGGGTGCGGCGCTCGGAGCCGTCGGGCCAGCGGTAGTACCTGGCGTGCCTGCGGTGACACGGGGACATGGGGACAGCCGCCGTGCCAGGCAGGGCACGCCCCTGTGTGTGTCCTGGCCGTACCTGAAGTTGTATCCAGGGGCAGGGGTCCGGGCCAGGCTGTCCAGGCGGGTGAAGGAGTAGCGGGGCAGGCAGCGCTCCCAGGCCCGGTCCAGGTCACACACCCACCCGATCTTGATCCCCAGCACCCCCCCCTGCCCCAGCCCTGCATCAGCACCACGGACCTGGCCCCATGGCGCCAAGTCCCCACAGTTTCACCGTCCTGCATCCCATGGGCCTGTGCTCCATGTCCTATGCATCCACATCCCACATTCTCATCTCCCCACGCTCCACATCCCCCTGCACCCCATGTCTCACATCTCCATGTCTGTACACCCCATGTCCCCGTGTCCCACATCCCAAACCCCATCCATGTCCCTGTGTCAAGCCCCACATCATCACTCTGTGTTCCTGTATCCCCATGTCCTGTTCCCAACACCCCTCATCCCTGCATCCCGTGTCATGCAAGCCCATGTCCCCATCTTCCATGTCCACATCCCACCACCCCATATCCCCCATCCCATGTCCCCATGTCCAATATCCCATGTCTGTGTCCCCAAATCCCACGTCCTTATGCCCTTACATCCCACCTGCTTGTACCCGTGTCGCCACACCCACGCCATTCTCCCCCCGTGCCTCCCGTGTCCCCCGTGTCCCCGCTCACGGTGGCAGCCAGCGCGGGGAAGTCCTGCCCAGCCAGACGTGCCACGTCCCCCAGGCGCAGGATGGGGCACAGGGGCTGCAGCTGTGGGTGGAAGCGACACCGGCCCAGCTCCGCCCCACTGCCAGGGGGTGGCAGGTTGGTCCTGGGGACACAGGGGGACACGGGGGACACGGAGGCATGTGCCATCAGGCAGCAGTCTGGGGTTCATGGACCCCCATCCCAGTGTCCCCCCACCATCTTGTGCCTGTGTCCCCGTGTCCCCCGTCCCCGTGTCCCTGTGTTACCCCGCCCCTGTCCTCATGTCCCCCCGTGTCCCCCCGTGGCTCGTGCCACTCACTTCTCAAAGCCAAAGAGCGGGAAGCGGATGCTGTTCTTGATGAGGAGGGTGAAGTTCTCAGCTTCCAGCATGACGGGGCTAGAGGAAGGGGTGGTGACACTGAGCACATGGCAGGGGGCACGTCCCCTGCTCCTCCCTGTGTCCCCCTGGCCCCACTTACACGTCAACGGTGTCCACCTCGGGCGGGCACCAGCCCTGGATCTCGCAGGTGCGCAGGGTCGCGTTGTAGGGGACGCAGCGCCCTGTCAGCAGCCCTGGGACCCCCAACCCTGTCAGCACACCCGGCACCTCGGCCCCCTGAGCTCTGTCACCACCCCTGGGACCCCTCTACTCCGTCAGTGCCCTTGGGGACATTCCTGAGACCCCAGACCCCCGTCAGCACCCCTGGGACCCCCGAACTGCTGTCAGTACCCTTGGGAGCACCCCTGAGACCCCAGACCCCCATAGGCACCCCTGGGACCCCCGGACCACTGTCAGCACCTCTGCCAGCACCCCTGAGACCCCAGACCCCCATAGGTACCTCTGGGACCCCCGAACCGCTTTCAGTACCCTCGGGAGCACCCCTGAGACCCCAGACCCCCGTCAGCACCCCTGGGACCACCGAACCGCTTTCAGTACCCTCGGGAGCACCCCTGAGACCCCAGACCCATATAGGCACCCCTGGGACCCCCGGACTGCTGTCAGTACCCTTGGGAGCACCCCTGAGACCCCAGACCCCCATCAGCACCCCTGGGACCCCCGAACTGCTGTCAGTACCCTTGGGAGCACCCCTGAGACCCCAGACCCCCATAGGCACCCCTGGGACCCCCGGACCACTTTCAGCACCTCTGCCAGCACCTCTGAGACCCCAGACCCCCATAGGCACCCCTGGGACCCCCGGACCACTTTCAGCACCTCTGCCAGCACCTCTGAGACCCCAGACCCCGGTCAGCACCCCGGGGATCCCTGGAGCCCCTTTGGCACCCCGGGGAGCCTGAACCCCCGGCTCACCCAGACCTCCAGCTCGCACATCAGAGCCCCGGGCCCCCGCAGCCCCCTGAGCCCACCGAGGGTCCCTCACTCCCGCCCACGGTGGCTCCCCCCGGTCCCTCGGTCCCCGGAGCCCCCGTTCCCAGCGGATTCCCTCACCGTTGCTCGTGCCCGGGCTCAGCTCCCGGCAGTCCCGGTCCGCCGAGCAGTGGAACGCGGCTTCGCTCTGCGGGGCGGGGGTCAGCGGGCGGGGGGCTCATCGAGGGGTCCCCCCGAGCGCCCGCTGCCCCCCCGCACCTCCGGGCACACGCCCTGCGCCTGCTCCTCGGTCCGGATCTGCTTGGTGACCACCACGAACACCGAGGTGCCCTGCGGGACGTCGCTGTCACCCGACCCGTCCGGGGGAGGCGGGGGTGGCCCCGCGCCCCTCAGCGACCCCTCCGGTCCCCGGTCCTCACCTGGGGGGGCGTGACGTAGTCGGCCGTGTCCATCACCTGCCCCGCGTAGCGCCCCACGCCCTTCACCTTGGTGACCACGGAGGACTCGATGGCGGTGTCCCGCACCTGGTACGCTTTCTCATGGAGGAACACCCAGCTGGGACAGCACCGCGAGTGACGCTGGGGACAGCCACCCCCGGACACCAGCGGCACCCCCCGGGCCCCTCCTGCCTCCCCCGGCACCCCCGGACCTGCCCGTGAACCCCGGTCCCCGACAGCCGCTCGTCACCCCCCGCCGGTGGCTGCTGTCGCCCCCGGGAGCCCTCGGGGACAGGGACCCCAGAGCGGGTCATCCCCTTCTGTCATCCCCTGGGGCCGAGCGGCTTCTCTGCCCCTCGGTGTCACCCGCGCTGTCCCCTTCCCGTCATCCATCCACCCGAGACGCCCTCCTGGCTGTCCCCCTTGTGTCACCCGTAACGACACCTTGCTGTCCCCATCATGTCACCTGCGCTGCCACCCTCCTGTCACCCGCACCGGCACGCTCTCTGGCTGTCCCCCTTGTGTCACCCGCACCGACATCCTCTGTCCCGCCTTGTCAACCAGGCTGTCCCCATCGTGTCGCCCGCTCCGGCACACCGGAATTCCCGGCGCTGACCCCTTGTCACCCGCTCTCCCGTCCCTCCTCTGCTCCATCACCCCCTGACCCCGCACCGCCGTCCCCTCGCTGTGACCCCGCTGCCACACGCCGCCACCCCCGGGTGTCCCCTGCAGCAGCCAACGGCAGTCCCCGCGCCGGGAAGGGGCTCGGGGCTGTGTCCCGGGGGATGTCCCGGGGCCGGTGTCCCGGAGGTGCCCGGGGGGTGTCCCGGGGCTGCCGGGGGGGCTCACCCGACGAAGTAGGCGAGGATGAGGAGCTGGACGCCGCGGTTGACGACGCCCACCACCCAGCTCTTCACCACCACCGACTTGGTGGTCTCGTAGGAGAAGAAGTCGCTCACCCAGCGGGTGCGGGGGCGCGGGAGGGCCATGGGCGGCGGGCAGGGCACGGCGGGGCGGCGGGAACCCAGGGGGATGCGGGCAGGGCAGGGCGGGGATGCGGGCAGTGAGCGGGGATGCGGGCAGGGCAGGGCGGGTGCAGGCAGAGGCACCGGCAGCGGTACCGGCAGCGGTACGGGCAGGGGCACGGGCACGGTGCGGGTACCGGAGGGTGTGGGCAGCACCCGCAGGGGTGCGGGCAGCGGGGGCGGTGCGGGCGGGCGGAGGCCTGGGGGGATGGAGGGGTACAAGCAGGGTCCTCCCCCGGGCTCTCTATGGGGTCCTTCCCCTTCCCTCCCAAAGCGGGGACCCATTCGGGCACCGGGGAGCCCCGCCCGGGGGTGCACGTGGGGGGTGCGCCCCGGACTGGGGGTGCCTGGTTTGGGGAGCACACCCCGGCACGGGAGCGGGAGGGGGGTGCCCCGGGCGTGCGGTTTCGGGGGTGCCCCGCTCTGGGCCGCCCCATTGTCCGGTTCCAACACTTTGGGGAGCCCCGGGATTGGGGGGAGGGTTGTCCCCACGCCAGGTGACGTCACGGGGCTCGCCCCGTGCTGGCCAATGGGGTCTCTCCCCCCTCTCGCTGTGGTTCTGGGCGGGGCACAGCGGCGGCAGGGGGCGGGGTCTCGGCCGCTCTGGCCCCGCCCCCTCCCCTCGGTGGGCGGGGCCGCCCGCCGTGCGGCGGAGAGCGCGGCACGGGCCCGCCCCGTCGCCAGGGGGCTGCCTGCACCTCGGGGGGGGAGCCCGGAGTCAGGGCAGGCCCGGCTGGCGTGGGGGAACGGGCCTGAGATGGAAGCGGGCTCGGGGCGGGCGGGCAGGCCTGGGGTTGGGGCAGGCCCGGCGGGCGCTTGGGCGCTCGGGCTCGGGGGGAATTTGGGGGTGCGGCGGGGGGCTTGGGGCGCGGAGAGGCCGCACCAGGTTTTGGGGGCGCTGGGGAGGGCCCGGCTGACCCGCTGTCCTCGCACAGGTGCCGTGAGTGACTGCTGTGCCGCTGCCCCGGGCATGCCGGGCTGGGGGGGCTGCTGAACCCCCCTGAGACCGTCCCCGTCCCCTCCCGCAGCCCGCAGCCGCCATGGCCGACACGCTGGAGTTCAACGAGATCTACCAGGAGGTGAAGGGGTCCATGGTGAGCGAGGGGACACGGGGGTGGCCCCAAGGGCGCTTCCAGCGTTGGGGAGCGAATGCTGTGTGGTGAGGAGGGTGTGGGGGGTGAAGCTGTGGGGGTGCCTGGAGCACCGTGGTTCCTCCGTGGTTCCACGGGACCGGGTCCCCTCATGCCCAGCTGTCCCACAGAACGACGGGCGGCTGCGGCTGAGCCGGCAGGGCGTCATCTTCAAGAACAGCAAGACGGGGAAGGTGGACAACATCCAGGCCTCGGAGCTGGCCGAGGGCGTGTGGCGGCGCGTGGCGCTGGGGCACGGCCTCAAGCTGCTCACCAAGAACGGCCACGTCTACAAGTATGACGGGTTCCGGGAGTCGGTGAGTCCCTGCGCCCGCTGTCCCAGGTCCAGCTGTGCTCCCTGCCAGCCCCAGAACAGCTGTGCCCCCTCCAGGGGCTGTGTGTCACCCGGGGCTCTGGGCACTGCCGGTTCCTGACGGTGTTGCCTCCCTCTTGCCCCATGCAGGAATTTGACAAGCTCTCAGATTTCTTCAAGGCCCACTATTGCCTGGAGCTGGCAGAGAAGGATCTGTGTGTGAAGGGCTGGAACTGGGGCACAGTGAGGTTTGGAGGTGAGTTCCAGTGGCAGCCTGAGGCCGTGGGGTGGGATGTTCACACCAGTGTGGCTGTCCTGCTGTCACAGCCATTCCCTCAGGAGCAGCTGCTTTCTAGGGATGTCCTCAGGGACAGTGAGGATATTTGCAATCTCAGGAGAGCAGGAGGACCCTGAATCCCAGGGGGCCATGTTTGGTGTGGAATCTGCACGTTTGCTGTTCTTTAGGGAGCCTGGGGAGCTGGTGGGTTTGCCACATGGGCTCAGACAGTTCCTTTTTGTGTGTTTCTGATCAGTGTCAATTTCCAGGGATGCCGCTGGCAGGGAGAAAGCCTGGGGATTTTGGAGGGTGGGAATGCAGTGATGAGAGCAGAGGCACTGCTGGATTTTGGGAGAGGAGCGAGACCTGGAGATGGGGTCTGTGGGGCACAGCTCTGAGGTGGCTGCGGTGTCCCCGCAGGGCAGTTGCTGTCCTTCGACATCGGGGAGCAGCCGGTGTTCGAGATCCCGCTCAGCAACGTGTCCCAGTGCACCACGGGCAAGAACGAGGTGACGCTGGAGTTCCACCAGAACGACGACGCCGAGGTCTCCCTCATGGAGGTCCGCTTCTACGTGCCCCCCACCCAGGAGGACGGCGTGGACCCCGTGGAGGTGCGTGGGGCCGGCGGGAGGGCGGGGGCTGGCGGCGAGGGGCCCTTTGTGACCGCTTCCCCGGCAGGCCTTCGCCCAGAACGTGCTGTCCAAGGCGGACGTGATCCAGGCCACCGGAGACGCCATCTGCATCTTCCGGGAGCTGCAGTGCCTGACGCCGCGCGGGCGCTACGACATCCGCATCTACCCCACCTTCCTGCACCTGCACGGCAAGACCTTCGACTACAAGATCCCCTACACCACCGTGCTGCGCCTCTTCCTGCTCCCGCACAAGGACCAGCGCCAGATGTTCTTCGTGGTGAGCGGGAGTGGCTCAGCCCTCCCCCGCAAGGGCACTGGGGGTGCTTTGGGGGGTTTTGTGTCTTCACCTCCTTTTCTCTTTCCAGATCAGCCTGGACCCACCGATAAAGCAAGGCCAGACCCGCTACCACTTCCTGATCCTGCTCTTCTCCAAGGATGAGGACATCTCCCTGACCCTCAACATGAATGAGTGAGCTCCCTGATGCCACGCCGCTTCCCAGGCCTCTCCCTGGATCCTGAGGGAGCTGCTTACACCCCAGACCCTCCGGAGACGCCATCTGCATCTTCCGGGAGCTGCAGTGCCTGACGCCGCGCGGGCGCTACGACATCCGCATCTACCCCACCTTCCTGCACCTGCACGGCAAGACCTTCGACTACAAGATCCCCTACACCACCGTGCTGCGCCTCTTCCTGCTCCCGCACAAGGACCAGCGCCAGATGTTCTTCGTGGTGAGCGGGAATGGCTCAGCCCTCCCCCGGAAGGGCACTGGGGGTGGTTTGGGGGGTTTTGTGTCTTCACCTCCTCTTCTCTTTCCAGATCAGCCTGGACCCACCGATAAAGCAAGGCCAGACCCGCTACCACTTCCTGATCCTGCTCTTCTCCAAGGATGAGGACATCTCCCTGACCCTCAACATGAATGAGTGAGCTCCCTGATGCCACGCCGCTTCCCAGCCCTCTCCCTGGATCCTGAGGGAGCTGCTTACACCCCAGACCCTGTTCTCACCTCTGCCCTCTTTCCCTCCTCACAGGGAGGAGGTGGAGAAGCGCTTTGAGGGGCGGCTCACCAAGAACATGTCAGGCTCCCTCTATGAGATGGTCAGCAGGGTGATGAAGGCGCTGGTGAACCGCAAGATCACCGTGCCAGGAAACTTCCAGGGGTGAGCAGCTGCAGGGCCAGTCCCTCTCTTTCCACCTCATTCCCATGGCCAGGGGCTCTGTGAGTGATTCATGCTGGGGAGCAGGGCATGTCTGCCAGGGCTGGGCACGGGGAGTTTATCCCCACGGATAGCAGTGTTTGTCCTGCAGACACTCTGGAGCCCAGTGCATCACCTGCTCCTACAAGGCCAGCTCAGGGCTGCTGTACCCGCTGGAGAGGGGCTTCATCTACGTGCACAAGCCCCCCGTGCACATCCGCTTCGACGAGATCTCCTTCGTCAACTTCGCCCGCGGCACCACCACCACCCGCTCCTTCGACTTCGAGATCGAGACCAAGCAGGGCACCCAGTACACCTTCAGCAGCATCGAGAGGTGGGTGTGGGCTGTGGGGCCAGCCTGGCTGTGGGGCCAGCCTGGCTGTGCCCACAGGGCTCCCTGGCACCCCCGGCCCGACCGTGCTCTCTCCCACAGGGAGGAATACGGGAAGCTCTTTGACTTCGTCAATGCCAAGAAGCTGAACATCAAGAACCGGGGGCTGAAGGAGGTATCAGCCACACGGGGCCAGGCTCCTGCCCGCTGGCACTGCCCTCTCCCAGAATCCGGCTGCTTTTCCCTCCTTTTTTCACCTCTCTTTTCTCTCCTTGCCCTTGTAGAGGAAAAAGGTCCGTGCGATATCCCTTCCTCTTTCTCCTCCTCCTCCTCCTGGTGCAGGTTTCCTGTGCATGGCCGTGGTGGTCTCTGACTAACCCAGTAACCCCAGTGTGGTGTGCGAGGGCCCCCCTAACCCCCATAACTGCTCTGCCCCTCTCTCCAGGGCCCTGAGGGGGGATGGAGGGGACATGGCTGTGTCTGTGCCCTGGCCTGTGCATGCCCAGGGCTCTGCTCACCCAGGGCTGTGTTCCAGAGGGGAGCACAGGGAGCAGCTCTCGTCCCACCTCTCTGCAGGGAATGAAGCAGAGCTATGATGAATATGCTGACTCTGATGAGGACCAGCACGATGCCTACTTGGAGAGGATGAAAGAGGAGGGCAAGATCCGGGAGGAGAATGCCAATGACAGCAGTGATGGCTCTGGGGAGGAGACAGGTGAGGGCTGGGGCTGTGAGGGAGTGCTGTGGTGCTCCAGCTCCTGCTCCCCATGATGATCTGAAATACTGAGCCCTCACTTTCTCCTCCAGACTCATCCTTCAACCCTGGAGAAGAGGATGATGACGTGGCTGAAGAGTGAGTAGAGGCCAGGCAGGGCTCTATCCAAAAGCCTCATAGGAAGGTGCTCCTCTAGGCCTGTGTGAGCATTGAGAGATGTTCACAGCATGACTGCGATCACCTGGATTTGGGAATGTACAGCCCTGGGTTTGGGTTGGACAGTTGGGCAGTTCTGGGCTTACTTCATTGTAATGGCATCAGGCAGTATGAGAAAGTTCTGGAAGGGCTCCAGGGGAGGCCTTGGCTGCATTTTTTGGGAAAGAGAACAGCTGGGAGGAGGGTTAAAGCCCAAGGCTGGGGTGAGGATGGGTGGGAGTCGTGGGGGGAGCTTGGAGCTGAGCGCTGGTGCCATGAGAGCTCCGAATGTCCATTGTACGGAACACAATGAGCCATGTTCGTGGAAGGGCACTCCCCTGAGGGCTGGAACGGGAGCAGGGCAGCTCCAGCCCAGGAAGCCTCAGGGCTGTGGTGTCTGGGGGCAGTTCTGAGCCTGGTGCTCCTGTGCAGGTTCGACAGCAACGCCTCGGCCAGCTCCTCCAGCGGCGATGGCGACAGCGACCGCGACGACAAGAAACCGGCCAAGAAGGCCAAGATCGTCAAGGACCGCAAGCCCCGCAAGAAGCAGCCGGAGGTGAGGGGTGAGGGGCTGCTGGGCGAGCAGGACCAGCTCCTGGAGCGGGGTCAGGGGGTCACAGCCCCGCCTCAGCCTCTGCAGCACTCACCAGTGCCCTGGCCAGAGCTGTTGTCTGGCCTGGTCCAGGCCGAGCCTCTCCCAAGGGCACGTTGTTCCCATGCCCAGCCTGTCCTGGTTGTTGCCTGGCTGTTCTCCAGCAGCCTGACCTGCAGCTGTGACCCTTCAGCCCCACTCCCAGGGATTGGTGGGGGGTGCAGAGGCGAGCAGAGCCCGGTCCCGAGGTGTTGGGTGAGGGGTGCATTGGGTTTCCACGGTGTTCTCCATCTCCAAGAGCAAGAAGGGGAAGGACCCCAACGCTCCCAAGCGCCCGATGTCGGCTTACATGCTCTGGCTGAATGCCAGCCGGGAGAAGATCAAGTCAGACCACCCTGGCATCAGCATCACCGATCTGTCCAAGAAGGCTGGGGAGCTCTGGAAGGCCATGTCCAAGGAGAAGAAGGAGGTGAGGGATGGGCCTGGTATAGGAGGGGAGGCTGGCTATGGAAGGCCCTTCCTTGCTCCTGGGAGCCTGGAGTTGTGCAGATGGGGAGTTGGGAAGGGGTCGGACATCCTGAGGCTGGTGAGCTGGGTGATCAGAAGTGGGAGCAGGGTGGGGTGCAGGTGGGTGGTGGAGGAGGAGGGGGGCCTCGCTGACCTTGTGCTCTGGCTGCAGGAGTGGGATCGGAAGGCGGAGGATGCCAGGCGGGACTACGAGAAGGCCATGAAGGAATACAGTGTGGGAGGCAAGGCTGACAGCCACAGGGGGTGAGTGTGCTGGCAAGGGGCTGGCAGGGCTTGGCCCCCAAAATCGGGCAGTTCCCAGGGCCAGCCAGGTAATGTGGCTCCTCTCCCCTCTGCTCACCCAACCCTGCACAGGGAGAGGTCGAAGAAGAAGAAGAAGAAGCAGGAGAAGCAGGTGAAGGGGAAAGGGGACAAGAAAGGTGCCACTTCCAAGTCCTCATCCTCCAAGTCTCCGGCTAAGGGAATGAGTGACAGCTTCAAGAGCAAGGAATTCGTGTCCAGCGATGAGAGCTCCTCTGCAGAGAGCAAGAAGGAGGTGGGGGGTCACAACTGGGGGAGGTGCTGATCCCTCTTCCCTGGGGAACAGCTGTCTGGGAGGGCCCCAGCCCCTGTTCCTTGGGGGACATCCCTCGGTGTGTGCCCAAGTCAGCACCACCACTGCAGTGGGGGATACTGCCCTGCCTTCACTGTCCCCTGCTGACCTTTGTCCCCTGCCTGCAGGACTCGGAGGACGAGGGAGCTGCCAGCCCGCCCCCCAGCTCAGAGGACTCTGCCTCAGGCTCGGATTAGCACCATCCCAGCTGGCTCCAGGCTGCATCCCAGAGGAGAGGGCTGGGCGGGCCAGCCCCGCGGCAGGGACCAGAGGGTCTCTGGATGGCTCCCAGCCGGGAGCAGGGCCAGGCTCCCCTGTCCCCCCAGCACCCCGTGGTGGCATGAGGTGCCTCCTCAGTCCCTCACCGTTGTATCCCATCCGTTTATTTTTTTCTAAACACTTGGGTTTCTCTCCTTTCCTTCCCTCGTTGGTTTTTTTTTGGTGTTGTTTTTTTTGTATTTTGGGTCTGTTCACATGGCAACTCGGGTTGAATAAAAAAAAAACCCCACTGATGGTGTTTGTGTGGGTGTGGGGCTGGCTCCCCCATCCCTCCTTCCTTCCTGCAGCCATCCGGGAGCTCATTCCCCTCCTTGAACCGCTTCCAGGGCTGACTTCACTCTCTCCCCACCCTCCATTAGCGGCCCCCAGCCCCTGCTCAGCCATCAGGGCTCCTAATTACAGCCCCTCGCTCGATCCTGATGCCATTTGGGGGTTTTTCTGCCTCCCTCGTGAGGGGGATGATCCGATTAAGGCCCGTTTCCCCTCCGGTGTTGATTGCAGCCGATTCCCGGCCTGGAACCAGCCCCGGGGGGGCCCCGTGGCTGCCTGTTCCCCCTCCTTCCGCTGCCTTTACTGGCACCGCTGGCATGGGGCTACGGGGAAGCAGGAGTGCCCCGGGGCGGAACCCGCGGGTCCCCGGGGCCACGAGGGACCCTGGATGCCCAAATGGTGGCGGGGCTCCATTGTCACAGCAGCCTCCGCCTACAGGCGCATTACTGCCCCTCTGCCAGCGGCCCCGCGGCCGGAGGACCCCGGGAACGGGGTAATTTGTAACGGGGGGGTTCCTGCTCGGCCCCGGGGGTGATTCTGGGGGTGCTGGAGGACTGCAGCGCGCCCCCGCCCCCATTTTGGAGGGCTCTCCGGCCGCCCCTCTCTATGGTCCGCCCGCCACGCGGCGCCGCGCGGCCCCGCCCCTCCCCGCCGCCGGGGGCGTGGCCTGGCCGCTCATGAATATGCATGAGCAGCGCCGGTGGAGGGTGAGTGGGGGTCTCTCCGCCGGCATGGGGCTACGGGTAACCGGCATCCCACCGGGCCCGTGGCGCCCGCCGGGGCACCACACGGCTTCGGCCCCGGGGGGCAACATGGTCCCAGGACCCCCGAATTGAGTGGGGGGCTTCGTTGTCATGGGGACGGCGCTAGGCCGCGGTCGCGGCCTACTCAGCCACTCGATCGGAGGCTTCGTTGCCGTGGCGACGAGGCTAGGCCGCGCTGGCGGAGGACCCCGGGGGGGCCGGCCCCGCATCCCGGGGCCCCGCCGCCATCCCGGGCCGGGAAACGGGCCGGATGGTTGCCAGATGTGCGCTGTGGCGGCGCTTTCCCCGCGGAAGGCGAGAGGAGGGGGGTCCTGCGGAGGGTGGACCCCGGCGGGGCGGCAGGCAGCGAGGCGGGGAGAGGAGGGCGGCGGGGGGAGGGCAGGGGAGAGAGGGCAGGGCCGGGAGGAGGCACCGAGCGGGTTTTTCCTGTCCCCGCAGCCCCGGTGAGTCACGGGAGAGGCGGCGGCAGCAGCGTGAGACCCGTGGGGACAGTAACCCCTCCTCCCCGCCCGCTCTGCGCCCCCCACGTGCGTCCCCGGCCCGCCCCCGACATGAGGCTGCTGTGGGGAAGGTGAGTGGGGTGCTCGCGGCCTCGCGGAGAGGCTGCCCGAGGGTCTCGGGGGACCGGGCGGCGCCTCTGGGCTGCCGGGGGCTCGGGGGGGCCGGCAGTGACCTGGGCAGGGAGCTGGGATGGGCACTGGGGCACGCTGGGGGCCAGCTCGGCGCTGGGCGTTTGGCGGAGGTCGGCGAGGGTGACACGTGTGTGCTGGGACAGGTTAGCACAGGGTCAGGCAGGTACGGGAGCGGCCCCACGGCCTCAGGGGGTGAAGTGTGGGGTCCCTGTGGTTCCGGGGGGGGGTTGGGACCGTGTCTGGGTCTGCTGCTGGGGCCAGGCTGGCTCAGGTGAGCCGGGGCCAATGTGCTAAGGGTGGCAGCGCGGTGCGATCACCGTTTGGCACAGCTGGACGGGGCTTGGCACGGGGCCCCGCGGGGCGGCTGGGCTCCCCCAGGCTCGGGGCGCTCCCCACAGCGACTCTCCCTCTCTCCCCAGGGGCTGACCCCGCGCCGTGCCCCCCGCGTCCCTACCTCGCCATGGCCTCCCAGCCGCAGCCCCTGCCCCCCGCCGTGCCCTGCGCCTCCGCTGCCGGCACCGCGGGGGCCGGGCTGGCCGGCAGCCCCGATAAAGGTCAGTACCCCGGGCTGGGGGCCATCGGGGCGGGGAGGGGGGTGCTGGGGCAGCCCCCCGAGGGCTGTTCCCAGTTCGGGGGGGCCGCACCACTCTGCTGACCCCGCGCCCCTCCCTCGCTCTCCGCAGGCAGCGCACGCCCCAAGCCGCCGGTGCGGCCCAAGCCCCGCGTGCTGCCCAAGCCGGCCGTGCCCGCCAAGCCCCCGGCGCCACCCCCCGCGCCGGGCCCGCGGCACCCCCGGCCCGAGCTGCCCTCGGCCGAGAAGATGAACCGCCTGGCCGGGCCCCAGCCCTACAGCGGGGCGGGCGCGGGGGGGCCCCTCCGGCGCCCCTCCTTCACCGTCAGAGCACCCGAGACCCCCAATGGGAAGGGGCCCTCGTCGCCGTCGGTCGCGGGCACCGAGGAGGAGGTGCCGCCGGCCCCGCCAACCCCCTCGCGCAGGGGCCCGGCCCCCTTCAAGGTGACGCCGGTGCCGGTGGCCGCCCGGCCGGAGCGCTTCCCGGGCACCACCGTGGAGGAGATCCTGGCCAAGATGGACAGCAGGGAGGGCCCGGGCAGCCCAGACCGGGCCTGGCTCTCGCCCTTCTGCACCGACCCCTCCTCCCGCTTCGGCTCCAAAACCTTTGTTGCTTTCCGGAAGCGTCCCAGCGGGGAGGCAGATGGAGACCCTGCCGGTGAAGCCCCCCAGACGCCCCCACCTGCGGCAGGCGAGCTGGGAATGGGGGATGATGGACACCCTGTGGCTGAGACGAGGTGAGGACATGGGGACCGACGCCGGGAGGAGTGGCAGTGGGGAGAGGAGATATCACTCCGAGCCGTCCCAGGCTCGGGAATGTAACGGAGCTGAGGTCTGGTCGGCGGCACGGGGCCCGGGTTCCTCCCGAGCCGCAGTGCCTGGAGCTGCCTCCGTGGGAAGGCCGGGGTGGCTGGTGCCAACCGCAGAATGGGCTGTCCCGGGCCGGGAGCTGCCTGTGGGCGGGCTCTGAGCCAGCCCCTGGGCTGGGAGTAACAGACAGGGGGTCGCTCCCCCAGGAAATGCTCCTGATTTTCCAGCCTTGCTATTTTTTCCCTGCTGGGCCATGCCAGGGCACAGGGAGCAGTCAGATCGGCAGGACTCCCAGCTGCAGGATGTCCTGGGCTAGGGCCAGGGCTTGGCTGTGATCCTGAGAGCCGGGCACCTCAGGGAGAGCTGGGCGGGGGCTGCTCTGAGCCACAGTGTGAGAAACTTGCTCCCAAAGGACTGAAAACTTTCCGGAAGGGGAGCTGGGGCCGCTTTGCCTCCTTCCCCTCGCAGCCCAAGCCAGAGGCTGTGCAGCTGTGGCAGGGCCTGACCCCTTGTTCCCTGCATCCGTGAGGGGTGGTTTGAGTCAGGGGTGTCTCGTGGGTGGTGGGAGCATAGCACTGAGGCACAGTGGGGTTTACCCTCCTTCCCTTTCTGTGTCCACAGCAGCTCCCCCCAAGCTGGGCCGAGCTGTGCCGGGGATCCCTGTGGACGCCGGAGGCCGCCATCCCCTCCTGACGTGAGTGCTGGCCTCGCCCTCCGGCGCCATGGCGGCTCCGCTCCTGGGCTCTCTCCTTCGGGGCTCTCCTGTCTCCTCCGGGGCTCCCTCTCTGCGGGGTGCGTGTCTCTCCTTTCTCCTTGGGGTGCTGGCTGTCCCTTCTGGGGGGGGTCAGGGCCCCTTGTGCCCTCTATGGGGCCCAGGGTGTGGGGGTGGCGTGTGCCAACACCGGTGCCAGGCGTGGGCAGGGAGCAGCCGTGAGTCACCAGCTGGGGTTTGGTGACCCGGCAGGTATGTGGCAGGGCAGGCCCCACGGGCACCCCGCCAGCCCCTTTCCCTGCGCCGTGCTCGCTCAGGGTGGTGACCGGGACAGCGGGCCACGGTGACACTGCAGGTGGCAGCCTGGGCAGCGGCACCAGCTCACCCCAGCAAGGGGGCAAACCCCAGCAGTGCTGGGCGGGGGGATGCCAGCCACGGGCAGGGCAGGGGGCTGTGCTGGGGGTTCTGATTTCTTCCTGCTTCATTTCTTGTCTCCGTCTGTCCAGGCGCTCTGGGGGCTGCAGGGGGCCGGGCAGGGAGCAGGGCTGGGGCGCCGGGAGCCGCCCTGGCTGAGTCACGCAGGAGCAGCCTGGTTCTGGCATGCAGCATGGGCACTTCCTGCCCCGGCTGCAGGGAGGGGAGCAGGGCTGGAGGGAGGGACCCTCCAGAGGTTTGGGGGGCTGGCTTTTGGATGGATGATGTTTGGAGGTGCCTCTTGAGTGACATGAGCCCCTGCTGGCTTTTTCCACAGCTTTCCACACTACAGCTGGGTGCCCTTGGACCTCCAGGCTCCCCAAGGCCTCCTACCTGCCCAGCTCCGGCCCCAGGAGCTCCTTTCCAGCCTGCTGAGCCCTCTGCCCCAGCCCCTGGCTCCCCTGATGCCCCCCCTGAGCTCCTGGCCCCTGACTCCCCCACACTGCCCCCTGGCTCCCCTGAATCCCCCACTCGGCCTCCAGTTGAGGTCCCTGTCACCTCCATCCAGGCCCCAGGCGCTCCCTCGGCCACCGAACCCCAGCTCAGCGTCTCCCGTTCCCCTGGCTCCCCACACACTCCAGGGGAGGGATCCCCTGGCACTGCCAGCCCCCCTGGCACTCCTGAGCTGCCCCCACGAGTCACATGCCCCCCCGGCTCTCCTGAAGCTGCTGCCGAGTACCTGGGCCCCCCCAGCCCACCCCTTGCCAAAGCCTCTCGACCCCCGGGCTCCCCAGAGGGACCTGATGACTCCACAGTGTCCCCACAGTCCCATGAGGGTCCTGATTTCAAACCCCCTCCCCGGGATGTGGGGCTCCGGCGTTCCTCCGAGGGGATGCTGCGGCCCCCGCCCACGGGGCAGGGCCTGGGGGAGCTGGGGGGCTCACTGAGTGCCCTGCCCCGGGCTGGAGACCTCCTGTCAGAGCCCTCCCTGGGCAGCGAGTCCGCCTGGAGCCTTTCCCAGTCCTTTGAGTGGACATTCCCGTCGCGGGGGGCACGCTTGCCAGCCTTCCCTCCCCGCTCCCCCATCCGGGAGACACCTGACTCGGGGCTCTCCGAAGAGGGGGAGTCAGATGGGGAGGCTGTGGCCCCCAGCCCTCCAAAGGACAGCAGGTCTGAAGGGCCTGGCAGCCAGCAGGCAGAGGGGGCTCCGTGCCCAGGGGGTCCCGTGGCACAGCGAGAGGCTGGGGGCTCAGCGGAGGAGGAGGAGGAGGAAAGGGAGGCAGAGCAGGATGCTCCCATGTCCCATTCCCCACTTCGTGTGACAGAGCCTGGCCAGCACCCAGCTGAGCCTGAGTCTTCCACCCAGCCCAGCCTTACCACAACTGCCCCGCTGGCTCCAGCCCCCCCAGATCCAGCTGCTTCCACTGACTCAGCCTGGGCAGGTGATGGCCCCAAGAGCCTGCAGGGTCCCGGGGGCCCAGGCCAGGCTGAAAAACCCTCACAAGACCCTGACCCTCACGCTGACCCAGGCTGGCTGACCGAGCTGTTGGAGTCACCTGGGGTCCACGGCTCTCCAGAGGTGAGGGGTGTGGGGGGCTCTGTGGGGTCGGTGTGGGCTGGGCTCCTCCCTGCCCTCCACAGAGCAGTGGGGTGGGACAGGACGGGCGGGTGGGTCGGTGGAGGCTGAGCAGGACTGTGTGCTGAGGGGCAGGTGGTGGGGCTGCCTTCCCCATGGGACATGTCATGCTGTGCTGTCCCCAAGGTGTTTCCCTCCTCCCCAGCTCCGCTGCTGTGGGAGCCAGGGTTGCACTCCCCTCAAACTCCTTTCCTCTTTCTAACCTCTTTTCCCCCTCTTAACTCCTCTCCCCTTGATTCCACCAGAACCTGCTGGGCTGGTCACGGAAGGACCTGTGCAGTGAGTTTGGCATTGGCCGCCCTCGCCAGGACAGCACCTTTGACTGGAGCCACCCAGGTGCGTCCAGGGAGAGAGACTGGCCTGTTGAAACCAAGAAGGACCAGGAATTCGGGACCAAATCCAGCTGGGACAGCAGCCACAGCGACAAGGACAGCAGTGCCCGGGAGAGCTGGAGCAGTGACTACAGAGCAGCAGAGCTGAGGGGGGACACGAAACTGGGCTGCAGCGACTGGTCCCAGTCCCTTGGCACTGGGAAGAGCTGCCCACAGGATCCAGACTTCAGTGCCAGCACAGCTGAGTGGGGCCAGGGCTATGGCAGCACGGAGGAGCTTGGCTCTAAACAGGCCAACTGGGGCAGTGGCCTTGGCACGGGACATGTCCAGCAGCTGGACAAGGAGCCACACTCTGGGCAGCCTACCTGGGCAGGCAGGTACAGCAGCAGGGACACGGAGATGAAGGACAGGGAACTCACCCCAGACTGGACCAGTAAATACAGCAGCCAGGATGCTGGGAGTAAGGACGAGAATTTAACGCTGGGCTGGGCTGGCAGATCCAGCACTGGGGACAGCCCAGATAAGGAGCTCAGCCCCAGCCGGCCAGCCTGGGACAGGAGGTATAACCCCAGGGACATGGAGAGCCAGGACAGGGAGTTCAGCCCCAGCAGGCCAGCCTGGACTCGGGAGTACAGGGACACAGAAAGCCAGGACAGGGAGTTCAGCCCCAGCCGGCCAGCTTGGACTGGTGAAATCAGGGACATGGAAAGCCAGGACAGGGAGTTCAGCCCCAGCCGGCCAGCCTGGGATGACAGGTCCAGCACCAGGAGCATGGAGAGCCAGGACCAGGAATTCAGCCCCAGCAGGCCAGCCTGGGATGACAGATCCAGCACCAGGAGCATGGAAAGCCAGGACCAGGAGTTCAGCCCCAGCAGGCCAGCCTGGGATGACAGGTCCAGCACCAGGAGCATGGAGAGCCAAGACCAGGAGTTCAGCCCCAGCAGGCCAGCCTGGGATGACAGATCCAGCACCAGGAGCATAGAGAGCCAAGACCAGGAGTTCAGCCCCAGCAGGCCAGCCTGGGAAGACAGATCCAGCACGAGGGGCGTGGAAAGCCAAGACCAGGAGTTCAGCCCCAGCAGGCCAGCCTGGGATGACAGATCCAGCACCAGGAGCATGGAAAGCCAGGACCAGGAGTTCAGCCCCAGCAGGCCAGCCTGGGATGACAGGTCCAGCACCAGGAGCATGGAGAGCCAAGACCAGGAGTTCAGCCCCAGCAGGCCAGCCTGGGATGACAGGTCCAGCACCAGGAGCATGGAGAGCCAGGACCAGGAATTCAGCCCCAGCAGGCCAGCCTGGGATGACAGATCCAGCACGAGGGGCATGGAAAGCCAAGACCAGGAGTTCAGCCCCAGCAGGCCAGCCTGGGATGACAGATCCAGCACCAGGAGCATGGAAAGCCAGGACCAGGAGTTCAGCCCCAGCAGGCTGCCTGAAGCAAGTGAATGCAGCAGGGACCTGGAAACTCAGGATGAGTTCAGTCCCAGCAGAGCAGCCTGGGCTGACAGATCCAGCACCAGGGACATGGAGACCCAGGACAGTGAATTCACATCCAGCAGAGCAACCAGGCATGGTGGGCACAGCACTGGGGACACGGAGACCCAGAATGGGGAGTTCAGCCCCAGCAGAAGTGTCTGGGATGACAGATCCAGCACCAGGGATGTGGAGGCACAGGACAGAGAGTTGAGCCCCAGTGGAGCAGCCCAGGATGGGCAGCACAGCTCTGTGACCCCCGGGGAGAAAGAGCAGGAGCTGGTCCCAGCCCGGCGGAGCTGGCCCGGTGAAGGCAGCATCGGACAGACCGGGCTGCTCGGGGTTGGTGAGGAGGACATGCCCAGCTCCCACCACCCAGAGCCCCCAGCCCAGGAGCCCACCTGGGGCAGTGCCCACCAGCAGGAGCGTCACAGCTCTGGCAGCAGGGACTGGGCTGCGGAGCTTGGAGCAGCTGAGTGCCAGAACCAGTTTGGTGTCATTGGGACAGAGCGGGTGCCAGATCCCTGCAGTGCCAGAGCCTCGGATGGCTCCCTGTCCGGGGTCCAGCCACAGGCAGGCTTGCACAGGGATCTCTCTCTGGACATGGGCAGTGCCCGCTGGAGCCAGGAGCTGGACAGCTGGAGTGTGGAGCCACAGGATGCTGAGGCCAGGCGCCAGGAGTGGGCGAGTGCCTTTAACGCCCGCTGTGCCGCCCGCAGCCGGGACCTTGGTGCGGGGGAGCAGAGCGTGGGAGGGGACACCGGCACAGAGCACGGGTAAGGAGGGCCCCGGTGGTGGCAGGGAGGGAGCAGCTTCTCCTGCGGCAGACGGAGGGCTTTTGGGCAGGGCTTGTGTTACCTGAGGCTAGAGCAATTCTGGGATTTTGTCCCCCAAGCAGGTCAGCCCCCAGCCCTTCAATGGGTGACATTCCAGCTGATTGCCCAGCTGTGGAGCCCCCCCGGAGTGAGTCACCCAGCCCCTCTGAGGAGGAGAGGCATCCCTCTGAACCAGCTGCTGCCCCACAGAGCCCCAGGGTCCCCCCTCTGCTGCCAGAGGCTGCCAGTGGGATCCCAATGGACACAGGAAATGAGGAACAGCCCTCAGACCATCCAGACGGGGAGAGCTCCTCGAGCTGGGGGGAACAGCGGCTCTCACTGACTACCCCCCAGCCTGAGGGGTCCATGGAGCAGGGGCAGGAATTTCCTCTTCTGGAGGTGAGTGGAAGTGGGGAGTTTCCAATCACCCTGTATGGCCTGGGACACAGCATGTGTCTGTGGATGGGGCTCTCAGACCCTGCTGCCCTCAGGGACAGCCACAGATTGAGGGCCCCCAGCACTGCTGTGGGGCCCCCTGTGGGTGTGCTGGCTGGGGTGGGGGAATCCCTGGGCTCCCTGTGCCAGCTCTGACCTGTCCCTTGGGCCCGGCAGGACACAGAGCTCCTGGACAGCAGCGTGTTCCGCTGCAAGGCCAGCCTGGGCCGCAAGCGCCAGCACCGGGCACCGTCCCTGCGCCCCACCACCGAGGGGGAGAGCTGGATCTTCCGGGACTCCACGGGTGAGCCCAGCAGGGATGGGGATGGGAGCAGGGTGTCTGTCCTGGCAGTGCTGTGGTGACACTGTCCCTGTGTCCCCGCAGAGCCCCGGCCAGCCCCAGCAGCATCCTCCGACGAGGAGGCAGCGGAGGAGCCCCGGAGCCGGAGGATGCGCGGCTCGTCCTCGGGCAGGGGGGTGAAGGTGCCGCTCTTTCCCGGCCTCAGTGCCTCTGCCATCAAGGTGAGTCCCGTGGACTCCTGCTGCAGGGTGGAAGGGAGGGTGGAACGCAGGGAATCCAAGGCAGTGTGGAGCTGGGGCCTGGCTAAAGACAGGGAGAAGGCAGTGGGGGGATTTGGGGGACAGAGCACTGTCCTGACCCTTCTCCCTGACCTTCCTCTCTTCCCCCAGGCGAAGCTGAGGGGTCGCAACCGCTCGGCTGAGGAGGGGACATCATCAGGGGACAGCAAGGGGACCCCTCCTAAAGACCCCCATGTACAGCGCTCCAAGTCCTGCAAGATCCCTGGTGTGAAACCCCCAGCCCTGCCCCCCAAGCCAGAGAAATCCTCAGGGTGAGTGTGGGGCCGGGATCCTCCACATGGAGGCAAAAGGGGGGCTGAGGGGTCAGACTGGTTTTGGGGGACTCATGCTGAAGCTCTGCCGATACCCCAGATCCGAGGCCTCTCCCCCCCACTGGCTGCAGGCGCTGAAGCTGAAAAGGAAGAAGCCTTGAGCAGGGTGAGTGTGGGATTTCAGACAGTGCTGGGGACACCCCCAGCTCAGGCTTCCCCAAGTCTGCACTGCTGGGGAGTGCAGCCCTCTCCTTCCTCTCTGCTCTGGCTGGGTCCCCCTGGGCAGGGTCATCCCTGGGGGGGCCCTGCAGGGTCCTCACCCCCTTCCCCCTGTGTCATTTCCAGGCTCGCTCCGACGCTGAAGCCCGCTGTCCCTGGACCAGGGCTGTCCCCTCCCATGGGGACAAACACACACACACACACACACACACACCTATGCACTTTGTACGAGCTCGCAGGGTCCCTGTCTTCACCTCCTCCCCATCCCCTTGGTCCCCACGGGTCTGGGGGTGGGCACGAGCCCCCCCCTTCCCCTCCCCCCTGCTCATGTATGTCCCTGGACACAGGGCAACGGGTCCAGCTCGTGGTGCCACTGCCACAGACAATAAAACCTCGCTGGTCAGTTCAGAGAGTCCTGGCTCTTCTCCTGGGCCCTGGGCAGGGATCACAGAGATCCTTGAAGAGGGGACCCTGCCACTGCCATTGCCCGCACAGGAGCTGTGCAGGGAGGAAGGGGCACCTCCAAAACCCCTCTGTGCCCACCCTGAGTGCACCCAGCCTGGCCCTGCCCAAACACCAAGTGAGTGCTGACACCAAGGCTTTATTGTACTCCGAGAGAGGGGGTGCAGCCCATTGTAGGGGAACAGCAGTAGGGGGGCACCCAGGGGGGCTGAGCCCCTCATATCTCGCAGATGAAGGGCAGCCGCCTCTTGCATCTCACGCTCCTCCAGAGCCCATCTGGGGAGAGAAGAGGGGGCATCAGCCCATGGCCCACCAGCACCCCCACCCCCAGGGACCCCCTCCAGCCCCAGGGATAGCCCCCCAGATACCTTATACCAGCCCCCCAGTGTCACCTCCCCATCCCGAGCCCCTCAGCACCCTCCCCCCGTGATGGCAGGGGCTGCCCAGGACCCCCAGGAGCCCTCCCCCCGAGCCCGCACTGACTGTTGGTGCAGAGGGCGGTGCAGAAGCAGCGGCCAGGCAGGGGGTGCCCGTGCACCCAGCGGCTGTAGTTCCAAGGGCTCCGGTCGGTCCAGTGGCAGTGTGGGAATGGGGTCTGCCAGGGGAGAAAGGGTGTGGGCATCCCCAGCACTGGGAGACAGCGGAATGGGACATCCAGGATGGGCGTTAGGGGTACTGGGACAAGGCTGGAGCACCCAGGTGGGCACTGGGGAACGGGGGTGGAGTTGTGGCTCTCTTGGTGGGCACTGAGAGCACTGGGAATGGGATTGGGGAACGCAGGCTGTGCACTGGGAATCGTGGCACGGGGCTGGGACACCCGGGGTGGGCACTGGGGACACGGGGAGGAGACAGGGTGCCCCGAGGCCAGGGTGGCAGGGTCCTTACGGCGGGCTGGCTGACGGCACCGATCCAGACCAGGCCGGCATTGGTGTTGCGGCGCGCCAGGTGCAGCAGGAACGCGTTGGTGCGGGAATCGTGGATCGAGGCCAAGCGCCCGCAGTAGCGCCGGGCACAGATGCGCTGCAGGGACACGGCTGTCACTGGGGGCACTGGTGTCCCCACCTCGAGCCCCCTCCCAACCCACCCCGTCCCACCTGCGCTTGGCGGAAGGTGCGGCAGCGGGAGATGACGACGTAGCGGCAGGTGGCAGTGCCCGGCATGCTGGGGACACCGAGTGCCTGCTTGTCACTGGCCCCCCGGCACCCGCTGTACTCCTCGGGCATCTCCAGCTCTGTCACGTCCTCCTCATCCTCCACCGCAGGGCTGGCAAGAGCTGGGGACGCCGGCTGGGTCACCCTGGGATCAGGGGTGTCCCTGGGATGTCCCCGCAGGCAGGTGGGGGTGTGGGGGGCACTCACCGGAGCGGCTGACGGGAACTGTGCCCAGCAGGGCCAGGGCAATCAGCAGGCAGGGCCGCATGGCACAGGACACTGGGGACACCACTAGCACCCTTGGGACATCCCAGAGCGCCATCACTCTCAGCCACCCTGGGGACACCCCCATGGGCCCCCTGGCACACCCAGCATCACCCTATCCTCCCCATGTCCCCTCAGAAACCCCCATATCCCCACTGTCCCTCCACCATCCCCAGTGCCACCCTGTGCCCCGTCCCCTCTGCCACCCCCACAGACCCCAGCTCTCCTGTGCCCACCATGTGCCCAGTTCCTCACTTCCCACCCTTGGGTCACTCCCTCCCCTCGGCATCCTGTGCCATTCTGTTCCCCACCATGCCCCCTCCACCCCTGGCACCCCAGAGCCCCCCAGTGCCACTCAGGAACCCCCAACCCTGGCAGCTGAGGGCTGAGCCCACCCCCATGTGCCCGTCTCTGCTCCTCACCTGGGTCTTGGGGGGCTTTGCCCACTGCCACCCTTATATTGGTGACAGGGACACGTGCCCCCAACCGCAGCCTTGTGACATCCCCAACCACCAACTGTTGGGGACATGGTGGGGGACACCCCAGGAGGGCTCTGCCAGCACCCTGCCCAGCCAGTGCCACAGCCTGGGCTGTGCTTGGTCCAGGGGAGGGGGTGTGGGGCAGGAAGAGGGGGCTGTGGGGTTTGGGGTGCAGGGGGGGTGGGGAGGGGGCTATGGGAGTTTGGGGGGCAGGTTAACAGTACAGGGGCTGGAGGGGTTGGGGTGCACAGGGCTTGGAGATAAGGATTGGGGTGCAGAGTCCCTGGTGGGGGGGCTGTGGGTGCTCAGCTGCAGGCCCGAGGGCTGGTCAGGGGGATGGGAGATTTAGGGGGGCTCCAGGGGGTCTGTGGGCAAACGGCCAGGCTGGACCCAGGGGGCCACGGCCGTTGGAAAGGAAACGGCCCTTGGGCAAGCATGGCCGGCGGGAGATGGTATCAGCACCCCAACATCCCCTCTGCACCCCAAGCTGGCCCGTGCTGCACCCCAGGCACCCGCCTTGCACCCCTCAAACCCAGCACCCATACACCCGCCTTGCACCCCTCAAACTGGAGCAGCCCCACCCCTGCACCCCACCTCTGCCCTGGGCACCCCCGTGCACCCCCCAGCCTGCAGCCCCCCCTCCCTGGGGACCATGTGTGCCCCACTGCGGGCAAGGACCCCCTCCCCCCCGTGTCACCCCAATGTCCCCATGGTGTCCCCAGGGCCGGGCTGGGTGGCGCAAGGCTGTGGTGGTGACATGTGGCTTTGTCACCCCTATAAGGGGCACAACGGGCAGAGCCCCCCCAGACCCCAGGTGAGGAGCGGGGATGGGGACAGGGACATGGAGGGGGACATCAGAGTGGGCTCAGCTCCTGGCTGCTGGGGTGGGGACCAGGGGTGGGCATCCCTGAGGCTGGGATGAGGGTGTTGGGGGACATGGGGGTCTCTGGGATGCCAGGACGACATGGGAGTGGCACAGGGGATGGTGGAGGGACGGTGGGGATATGGGGCACAGAGGGGCAGGATGGGGTGAGGGACACAAGGTGGACCTGGGTGTGGCACTAGGACCACAGAGAGAACAGATTGTTACCAAGGGTGGCAGAGGGGCTCTGGACCATGGTGGGGGGTGACAGGGTGACAGGGCTATGGCATCTCCAGAGGGTGCAGGTGGTGTTCCCAGTGTCCCTGCGTGTCCCACTGCCATGTGGCCGTGCCTACTGCTCGCTCTCGCCCTGCTGGGCACTGTCCCTGCCAGCCACCCCGGTGAGTGTCCCCCTGCCCCACTGAGTGCCCCCCATACCCCTGCCTGCTCCCAGGGACACCCCGGGGACACCCTCAGTCCCTGCCACCCCAGTGCCGTGCCCACACTGCCGATGCCACACGCCTGGGGCTGGCAGCGGGTGGCAGAGGGACCCCCGGTACCAGCCCTCCCCTGGTGTGCCCTGCAGCCCCCCGGCAGCCCCAGGGGGTCCCCGCTGGTGACACCACCCCGCAGCACTACGCCGTGGTGAAGAAGCTGCGCACCTACTCGGGCGCCCAGGTGAGGGGACAGCGGGTACGGGGGGCACCAGGATGCCAGGCCGTGCCCGTGCCACGGCAGCACTGCCGGGAGGTGCCCATGGGCACAGGCGAGTGCCTGGTGCCAGCCCGTGCCCGTCCCACAGCGCTACTGCCAGGATGTGTACCGGGGCCGGCTGGCCTCGGTGCACAGCGCTGCCCGCAACCAGGAGCTGCAGAAACTGGCACAGAGCTACCACATCATCCTGGCACCCTGGATTGGAGCTGTCACCAGCTGCAGGGTGAGGGGAGCCTGGCGACAAGGGCTGACAAAGGGGTGCTGGGGGCTGCTTTGGGGGTGAGGGGCTGGGGCTGGGGTGCTGGGGCTGCTTTGTGGGGGACGAGGCTGGGGCTGGAGGTTTGGTTTTGAGGCATGAGGGGCTGGCTGTTGGTTGCTGGGGCTGGTTTTTGGGGTCGAGGGGCTAGGTAGGGGCGGTGGGGGCTCTCCCTGGGGACTGAGGTGTTGGCACAGCAGGCAGGGCGGTGGGAGTCCTACTGGGAGGACTCCAGCCCCTGGAACTACGCGAACTGGGCGCCCACCCACCCCTTCCACATTGTCACCACCTGTGCCACCCTCAGCATCCGAGGTAAGGTCACCCAGCCACCGTGTCCAGGCTCGGGGGGTGCTGGGGAGGGGAGCACAGGCTGCTGGGGCGTTGGAGGGACATTGGGAGGGCACTGTGGGGAGGGGGCTACAGGGCACTGGGTGAGCTGAGGGGAGCACTGGGAGGGGTTACAGGGCACTGGGGGAGCCAAGGGGGGATACAGGGGGCACTGGAAGTGGTTGCAGGGTACTGAGGGGCCCTGGGAACCACCCATGGCCCTGACACTGTCCTTGTCCCCAGACGGGCTCTGGCGAAGCCGCTTCTGCTTCCAGCTGCGCCCCTTCATCTGCCAGTACTGAGCCCCTGGCGCTGCCTTGGCACCCCAGTTCCTTTCCCAGTAAAGCAGAGGTGCCCTGAGCCGTGTCTGTGTGCACTGGGGGCCTGGGGACAGGGCTGGGGGCTCGTGGGGGCAGCACAGAGAGCAGAGGGGGCAGCGATGTTTATTATCCCCACCCCACTGGCACAGCACCCCAGGCTGGTACAAAAACCGTGTGCTGGGTGTGGGGCTCAGTGCGGGGTCTCGGCGTGGATCTCAGTGCTGGGGGCGGCTGCCAGGGGGGTGCCAGCCATGCCCAGCTCCTTGGCTCGCCACTGGCACTCGCGGGCCACCACCACGGGGCTGACAAAGGCCACCAGCACCACGGCGATGAGCCCGAAGTTCATCTGCAGAGGGGAAGAGTGTCAGGGCAGGGGTCTGGGGGGCCGTCACCCCGCCACCAGCACCACGGCGATGAGCCCCAAGTTCATCTGCGGAGGGGAAGAGTGTCAGGGCAGGGGTCTGGGGGGCTGTCACCCCATCCCCTGTGTCAGGCCAGGACTCTTGGGGCAGCACCTCCATTTCCCCAGGCCAGGACACCCCTCCCTGTCTGGTGCAGGACCCCCATTTCTCATGGCATAAGATCCCTCCACTCCTGGGAGAAGGACTCCATCCTTCCCGGGGCAGCAACCCCATTTCCCCATGGGGCGGGACCCCAATTTTCCCATGGGCAGGACCAGGATCCCCATTTCCCCATGGGGCAGGACCCCAGTTTTCCCATGGGTAGGACCAGGATCTCCATTTCCCCATGGGGCAGGACCTCCATTTTCCCACGGGCAGGACCAGGATCCCCATTTTCCCAAGGGATGAGACACCCATTTCCCCACGTGGCAAGCCCCCTTCCCTCCCAGGGCAGGACCCCAGCCCTCACTCGGGGGGCCCACGGGGCACACTCACATAGAAGGGGTCCCCCTGGAGCGGCCCCTGCACCAGGGCGACACAGGGGTACTGCAGCAGGGCCACCAGCGCCGACAGTGCCATGGCCAGCCCGTAGAGCTTCCCAAAGTGCTGCGGGGGGAACCTGCCAGGCACCCACGTCACCAACGGGCATCTCCTGGCACCCCCATCTCCTGGCACCCCCCTCCTGAGCCCTGACAGCCCCACCGCAGTCCCCTGACACCTCCACCGTGTCACCTGCCACCCTCCAGCCCCACCGCCATCCCCTGCCACCCCATCCTGGCTGTGCCACCCTGTCAGTCCCCTGCCACACCCACAGCGACCGTGCCACCCTGCCCTGCCACCCCGCGTCCCCGGGGCTGTCCCCACTCACGCAATGGCCAGGAAGGCGGCGTTGCCGCCGTACAGGAAGGAGCGGCTGATGACCTGCAGCACGAAGGTGCCAAACTGGGCGGGCAGGGCAGGCACGGCGGCCAACACGGAGAACAGCAGGCACAGTGCCACCGTCACCACCAGCGACAGCACCGCCGACCGCAGGTCTGCCAGCGCGGCCAGGAGCCCTGCATGGGGACACGGGGGTCAGGGCAGGGACACACAGCCTCACCCCGTCCCTTCTCCAGGTGCCGTGGGCTCGGCACAGCGGTGGTGGCAGCAGTGAGGACACAGGACAGGGAGCACGGGGCTGGGACGAGGGTTACCCCACAGTGTGGGGCCAAGGAGTGGTTCTGTGTGGGGTGAAGGGCCGTGGGGGTCAGTCACCCAGGGGAATGGGGCCGGGGGCTCAGTTACCCTCAGGGCGGGGGCCCTTTCCCCGCTTGTGCCGGTCGAGGATGAGGCCGTTCCAGGGGGCACAGAGCACCCCGAAGAGCTGGGTGAAGGCGAAGGCGTTGGTGTAGGTGCTCACTGTGGGGGGACAGCGTCAGGCGGGCGGGGCCGGCCCGGGGTGCCCGCCGTGTGCCCCCCGCTGCCATGCCCTACCCAGGGCGTGGTCCCCACGCGCCAGGTGCTCGAGCTGGGGGTTGAGGGTGCCGATGAACAGGTAGTGGCGCAGCTGCATCACCGAGAGCCAGGCCACGTGCCAGGCAAAGAGCCAGGAGCAGGCGCAGGCCCGGAACGGCGTCCCGGCGGCGTCCCCACCTGTGCAGGTGTCAGGGTGGGGCACATAGAGACACACCCCCCCAGGCCACACCCACACCTTGGCCCTGCCACCCACTGATCGGTATGACCCTGCCCATTCAGGTACGTCACCGTGCCCACCCTTTGACCACGCCCACACTGCCACACCCAGCACTCCCTCATTTGCATGCCTCCAGCCACACCCATTAATAACCACGCCCACCCACCAGAAGGCCACACCCATCTATTTGCATACACATGGTTGACCTCCAACGGGCCCCGCACAGCCACGCCCACAGGTCACACCCCTCATTTACATGGCACCGCCCACAGCCAGCTGTGGCCACGCCCACCAGGTCAAGCCCCGCCCAAAATATAATCCCCACCCCACCGAGCAGATTCCCACTCCCACCTCGAGCCACGGGGGGTTCCAGCGGTGTCTCCTCGGGTCCGGCCTCTCCCGGGGGCTGCTTGTCCTTGTGGGTTCGGTAGGAGCGGGAGCGCCCCCGGCACTGCAGCCTGGGGCAGCGCCTGTGTCACCCTGTGTCACCCCGCCGGGGCTGGACTGCCCAGGGGACAGGACCCGCTGCCCGCAGGGTGGGACCCAGCCCCCCGTACCCGTAGTCGTAGTCGGGGGGCAGCGGGTAGGGGATGCGGGAGCGCGGCATCAGGAAGAGGGTGCGCAGGAGGTGCCAGGCGCTGCAGGCTGCCAGGAAGAGGAACATGGCCCGCAGGGACAGCCCGCGCTCGTACAGCAGCTGGGGACAAGGACGGAGTCAGGGACAGACACAGGCTGCCACCGGCCACCTGCTCAGGCCCTAGGTGTGTCCCCATCTGTGGCCTCAGCAGTGACTCAGCTGTGTCCCAGACTGTGTCCCCAATATGTCTGTAGATGTGACCCAGCTGTTCCCAGCTCTGTCCTCCCCTGCCACCACTGCCGCGTCCCTCGCACCCACCTTGACGATGAGGAAGATGGCGGAGGAGGAGTCGAAGGCCCCGTTGTAGAGGGTGATGATGATGGAGCGGTAGTTCCCGAACAGGTTCCCCACCTGGCACCGAGAGACCCCCGTGTGCCATCAGAGCCCTCCTGTGCCATGCGGGTTGTCCTGCCACCACGTGGGTGTCAGGGCGCAGGGGGAACCCACCTGCATGTTGGTGAGGATGAGCAGGATGCCACCCACCGACAGCATGGACATGGCCGGGAAGAGCAGCTCCGCCAGCTCTGGGGACACAGGGCTCAGTGGGGACAGGGGTTACCGAAGAGGTCCCCCCAGGGCTGGGGACGCCCTGGCCACAGGGACTCACCTGGGGTGGAGAAGGCGACGAGCAGGGTCCCGCCAGTGTAGAGGGAGCTAAAGGGGACAGCGGTGACACGTGGGGACGGGATCCTGGGAATCACAGGTGACTCCCCTACCCTGGTCCCTTGGGAGCCAGGCACCCCAGTAACCCCCCACTCCCTGTCCCCGTGTCCCCGGCGCAGGGCTCACATGGCGATGAGGCGCGCAGCCGTGGTGCCGAAGCGGTCGAAGACAACACCCATGGGGAAGGTCATGAAGTTGTTCATGAAGGAGCCGATGGTGAAGACCAGGGAGAACTGCTCATCCTGCCCGCTGCAGTCTGGGAACGGCCATAATGGGGCATGGGGACACAGAGACGTGGGCATGGGACACCGGGAATACCACGGTGAGGGGACGCAGGCACCCGGGGACACGGGTCAGCGCAGATGCAGGGGACACCGGGCATGTGGGGACACCACAGACATGATGGTACTGCAGACATGGACTGGGGGACAGCAGGCACATGGGCTTGGAGACAGCGGGGACACAGAGCACTGCAGGGCACCAGGACACTGCAGACAGCAAAGACACAGGCACAGCGGGGACACGGGACAGCTCGGGGCATCAGGGTCGCGAGTCAGGGGACCGTGGGGACACGTGGGGGTCCATACCAGACCCCAGGGTGAGGTTGGGGCTGGTGGAGGGCTGGCACAGCCCCTCGAAGTAGCCCAGGTCCTTGAGGACGAAGACGAGGGAGGCCCAGCCGAAGATGATGCCGCAGAAGGCGCCGCACTCCAGCAGCCCTGACAGGAGGGTCCCCAGGCGCTTGGCCAGCCCCGCGCCCCCCGCCATGTCCCCTGCCCAGGCAGACACTGGCCCGGGCTGTCACCAGCCTGGGGCGTCTTCGCCAAGCCTGTGGGTGACAAAGGCCAGGTGTCACACCATGCTGGCACCCACCGGGGACACAGGGACACCTGGCAGCACGTGGCCACCTGGGCAAAGGCCACTGTCACCCCGGTTCTGCCCCTCGTCCCTGGCCACAGCAGCTGGCACTGGTGTCCCCCATGTGCCAGGGTGCAGGGCAGGGCCCTGCAGCAGCCAGGGCTCGCTCTCACACGTGGGGACAGCTGGTGACATGTGGCACACGGCCGTTGACGGACACGCACAGATTTTTGAGCACACCCAGACTGATGGGCACACACAGACATTTGTAAGCACACACAGAGCTGCTCACAGGCACACACACAGCTTTACAGGCATGCACACCTGCACACACGACCCTGCCTGCTGACCCCTGTCCTGCACCCCTCACCCACCTGCACGAGGCCAGGCCCTCCTGTTGTCACTGTCACCTTCGGGGCCACCCTGCAGCCTGAATCCTGGCAGCGTGGCTGGGACACACCTCCCCACCCCAGGGACTGTCCCCTAATCTCCCAGGAGCACACTCAGTCCCCCGGGCTGCCAGTCCCTGATAGTGCCTCGGGCCCCCTGATGGCACCCCGGGCCCCCAATGGGGGCTCGGTCCCCTCACTGTGCCAGGACCCCCCTGTGCTGTCCCTACTGCCCCGAGCCAGCCTGGCCCAGGAGCTGGCACAACCCTGGGGACACTGGCACGCTGCTGCACACCCTGGGGACACCACAACAACACACCTCACCCCAGGGACACCAGCACCCTGCTGGGGACCTGGCACAGCCCTTGGGAAA